CTGCAACAAACACCTGACCCGATGCAGCTACCTGACCAGACGCAGTGACTGGAGGAGACGTAGTGGTAAGTGTGTACAGGCTCGACCCCGGCCGACGAGCGAACGTGGCCAGGTGTCGGCCTGTCCGAGCGTCCGTGCAGTGGGTCACCCGCTGACTCGCAGGAGTGAACAGGTGAACCCCCGCATCCTGTAGGTCAGCACCACTCACCAAGTTTGTAGAGAACGAGGGGAGGTAAAGACAAGACAGGGTGTCAGAGGGGGCCGCCGGACACGGGATGACAGTGGAGAAGTGAGCAAGGACAGGGCCCCCAGAGGGGTCTGCCAGAGAGACTGCAACTGGCTGACCAAGCGGCGTGAGTGTGGTGCGGTCTCGAAAGAAGGAGCGGGAAGCCCCCGAGTCAAGGGTGAAGGTGTGAGAGGCCGGAGCCAACGCAGTACCTGAGAGAGCAGACTCACCCGCACCTGAGGAAGCAGACTCACTAGCACCTAGAGCAGCAGCAGCACTTGTACCTAGAGCAGGAGACACACTAGCACCCAGAGCTGCAGCCTCACCAGCAGCTAGAGCAGCAGGCTCGATATCCGGCTCAGGCGGTACGCACAGGTGACCGGCACGGTCAGCACTAGTAGGTAATGCATAAATGGCAGTGAGAATAGCATCATACTCAAGAGCAAATATATCGACCCTCTGCCTATGCAGCTCCACCCAGTCGGGGAGCTCAGCCTCGTCGCCAAACTCGGTACGCCAGGCGTCGCTCAGACGGGCGAAGCAGCGGGACTGTGTGTGAGTAGGCGTCCCACAAGGCTGACCAGTCCGAGCACCAGTGCGAATCACGTAAGAGCAGCGAACAAAACTGAGAGACCCTCTACTCTGAGCGTACCACTCACGAAGCTGCTGGGGCGTGAGAGACATGTGTGGGCGTCGCTGGAGCTGCATCTGGCCGCCGCTAGTAGTAGTAGCAGTAGTAGCGCCGCCACCCCTACAACCCCAACCAGCGTACCACTCACGCAGCTGCTGGGGCATGAGGGACTCACGCGGGTGTCGCTGGGGCTGCATCTGGCTTCGCCAGTAATAGCAGGAGCAGGAGTAGCAGCAGTAAGGCAGGCAGCCAAGCAAGCGGCGGGCAGCGCGCTAGTAAGGCAGGGGCTCACCAGTGGTGGGAAGTGCAGGCTCGACGACTCGACGGTGCGGGCGGCTCGGGCGGCTCGGGCGGCTCGGCGGGACGGCGGCACGGCAGCAACTGCGGCTCAGCGGCTCGGGCGACTCGGGCGGCTCGGCGGCTCGGCGGCCCGAGCGGCTCGGCGATACGGCGGCCCGGCAGCAACTGCAGCTCAGCGGCTCGGCGACCCGGCGGCTCAGGCGGCTGAGGTGGCGCTGCGGCTCGGGCGACTCGGGTGGCTCGGGCGGCTCGGCACTAGCTCGGCGGTGCCGGCGGCTCGGTGTTGACGGCGGGGCCGCTTGGGGACAGCGGCGGGGCCGGGTGGAGCGGCAACGGAGCCAGCAGAGGCAGCGCCGGGGCCGCAGAGTAGGCGACCGGGCCAGCAGAGGCGGCGCCGGGGCCGGGAAGGGCGGCGTCGGGGCCGGGAAGGTAGGCGACGGGGCCGGGAAGGGCGGCGTCGGGGCCGGGAAGGGCGGCGTCGGGGCCAGCAGAGGTGGCGCCGGGGCCGGGAAGGGCAGCGCCGGGGCCGCAGGGGTAGGCGACGGGGCCAGCAGAGGCGGGGCCGGGTCGGGAAGAGTAGCGTCGGGGTCGCCGGGGTAGGCGACGGGGCCAGCCGAGGTGGCGCCGGGGCCGGGGAGGGCGGAGCCGGGGCCGGGAAGGGCGGCGCTGAGGCCGCAGGGGTAGGTGACGGGGCCACTAGGGCGGCGGATTGGGGCCGCGAGGGCGGCGCGTCACGGCCGCTAGGGCGGCGCGACGGGGTAGCGGGGCCGCGCGCCTCGGGGCGCGCGCCAGAAAGAAAATCGTCGCGCGTCGCACGCCATGGGGCGTGCGACAGATCGAGTAGCAGCGGAAGCAGTAGTAGGGCCCTAGGAATAGTTCCCACGAGGGAACCTGCTCGATACCATGAGAAAACTGAAACGAGAATGAATGAACTATGAATGAAGTGGGTACAAGTACTAACCCTAATTGGGTTGTACCCCCTATGGGATACCCCACTACAGCCTACACAATAGTATAAGCTATAATGTTCTGACATGTGGTTGATAGCGTGAACCGGCACAATCACTCGGTGAGGGTTGGTTGGGTCAGGCGAGCGGCGTGACCTGTCAGTAGAGGTCTCGTCTGCTAATGACTCCTCGCGTTTCCCTACTGCTTGGTCTGTTCTCCTGCTCTGCTTCCCCCTTTCCGTTAGCGTTTTTCAGGCATTCGCTTTTACGGTGTCCCGGCTGATTGCACGCGAAGAGCGCCCTTTGAACGGTGCGGCAGCGGCGTTCGTGGCGACGGCACGTATTGTGGCGCCCTTATTCGTCCCACGAGATAGATTTCCCCAGTTTTTGCTTGTGTAGGACCCCGGTCTCGGTCAGCGAAAGAAGTTACTCCACCATGGCGAGAATCTCCTGAAAATCGGTGACGCCGCGGTGCTGGATTTCCTGGGCGATGTCGTGCTTCAGGCCGTCGATGTAGCGGTCGATACGCATGCCGTCGTGCATATATCTGACTTGCTCGCACAGCGCCAGAAACCCGCTAGTGTAGTCTTGGACGGAACCGAGTTGGCGCCAAGTGCGGAGCTTTTGACGCGTCACGATCGAAGCCGCAACTGGATCAAATCGAGCGCGCATAGATGCGCACCATGCGTCCCACGTGCGATATTGGGGAACCTCCTCAAAATACGACGGCGCCCATGGTCCGGTTTGTCCTTCCTGTGTCGGTAGATTCGCGTAGTCATTCGGCTTTGTGACGATAACACGCCACCAATCCATGGCGGGTCCTCGCAGCAGTGACACGGCGTAGCAAATTTTCGCCGTATCCTCCGGAACGTAGTTGGCGTCAAAGAACACGTTCATCTTGAACAACCACGCCAGAACGATAGGACCACCCCGTTGACTCATGTCAAAACATGGCGGAAGCTCCGGCTTGAGCGGCATCGGTGACGGCAGTGCCGAATCATTGATCGGTGCCGAAATCGTGACGCGGCGCTGGTTCCTGGCCGCATTTGTCGCTTCGGGGTGTGTCGTGCCGTGGTCGTCGTCTCTGTCGTGGCGGACGGCGCCATTACTGGATGTGCTCGCGGGTTGCCCCACACTTCCATGCTGTGATGCTTGTGGTGCAGGCTGTATTGGAGCGCCATGTGCTTGTGATTGCGCTTGTTGTGCTCGTGCGACCTCATTCTGCATAGATGTGTGTTTCGCCGTCATCTCTGCAATTTCTTCTAAGTTTTCGTGCAGCTGGCGCGGCAGTTCATTCAGGCGGTCCTGCGTGAGTGTCGTGACGTCGATATGTTCGGCCATTACGAAGGGCGTCGGCTCGGCTTAGTTTAGGCGCAGTTGTGGCTGCACGCGTTTACGAGAAAATGCGAGGATAGGGTCTAAGGTGCGTTAGTCCCTTCGAGTGAAAAAAAAAAAAGAAGAAAAAAAAAGAAGAGTTGATTTCATAGGGTGCAGAGATTTGCGGTCCGAGAGGAAGTAGCCCTGAATACCAAGTGTTACGAGTGCAATGAATCGAGGTAGTGAGGATTGCATAAGATTGTCAAACGAATACAAAATGTGAGCGAAGGCATGAACGAACATTTATACGCGAAACATGCAAACGGTAACGCGGTGCGTGCGAGCTAGCTAGTGCTAGGCTGGCATCGAGGCTCGTCCTAGTCCCGAAGCGTAGGCCGACATGGCCGGGCCAGCGGTGCATGGTTTGGTGAAACAGTGCGCGCGAAGTCTGCGAAGCCCTGTTAGCAGTAACGGGCAAGCAACGGCTGCTGTTGTACGCGATGTTGCAGGTTGCGGTAAGGAATGTCGAGAAAATTCCTTACACTTATCCCTCATTTATGTCTCTCTTCCCCTTTTTCTTCTTTCTGTCTAACACGAAACTAAGGATTGAATACATCCATTGAACTCTCGCATAATGTCGAACATTTTTGCTTGAATATTCATGATGTCTCTCTATACAATCTTGAAAATGGTTCTGCATGCTGTGGCGAAATCCATTGAAATCCGGTGCGCTCGCAAGCAGAGCGGTACGCTTGCACACAGAAAAACAGCAGATGTACCGAACATGTTTTAGGCTAACAACACAACCGTTGGCATGTACATACATACTTTTCCTCTTTATATAGTAATGCATCGGCCAAACAATAAGTTATGGCGGTTGGAGCTTGCCGAATGAGCGTGAGCCGCTTGTCACCATGCAGACGTCAGCATCCGTGAACTCGAATCATGCATGCAGGATCTCCAAGCGATGGGCAAAGGTTTGCGGGCTCGTGCCACATCAGCAACAGATACATTGCGTAGGACGAGATTTGAGCACCTGTGAGAACCTTTTAATTAAGCCGCAGTTACACTAGACGGCTCGAGGGTTGATCCTCCAAGTTTACAAGTTTTTTAAAAATCTCCACACGAGAAACCGAAAGAAGCACAGCGGGTAGTTCTCTTGGCTTGGTACTGAACGCACTCCCTTACCTGCCGTGTTTCCCCGCAACTTTGCCTCCTCCGGGGTTCCAAGCGAACACTGTACGGTCTTAAAGAGATTGGGTCTGGTGCATTGTCTGTATCTGAACTGGCGGCGTTGGGGCGGGGTTGGGCGACTCATACTCGCGGCACCAATTCATAAGCGCCATGACAGCACGCTTACTTCTGGATGTTGAATTCAGTTTCAGGTCGCAAGTTAACTTCACTTTTTTGTTGATACGGGCGTGTTGCTAGCATTCACTAGTAGCTCCTGGCCTCGTGTCAGTTCGTCTTTCTCTCTTCAACGACAGTGTTCCCTCCTGTCGCAACGCCTCGTGCTCAGTCTCTTACGTTTCAAAATTTTGTTCAATTTTATCCTTTTTAGCGTTTTTCGCGGGAAATGATGCGCATCGCCTCTCGCCAGCTGCTCTCCGCGGGAAAGTTGCTCAAAGCGGCAGCCCCCGCAGAAGTCGCCGCACTTGGCGGTGCAGGAGGCGGGCGTGGCCTCGCGGCGTCGGCGGCAAGTGATACCAGCCGTCCGATCGTGGCGAGCCTTCCAGATCTGCCGTACGATTATGGCGCGCTGGAGCCGGTGGTGAGCGGCGAGATCATGCAGTTACATCACGCGAAGCACCACGCTGCTTACGTGGCGGGTTACAACAAGGCCGTGGAACAGTTGGACGCAGCGCGGGGGAAAGGCGACACGGAGACGGTGGTGTCGCTCCAACGAGCGATCAACTTTAACGGCGGAGGTAAGCCGGGAGATTAAATCCATGAACGAGCACCGGATTTGAAGAGTTGAGAGTATTACTAAGCACTGCTTTGTCTTTATTGCATAAACCGACTGCTCGCGTCTCATATTTCCAAGCGTTCAACACTTGGCTGGGTACCCTCGTCCGTAATAGGTTGACGAGAGACGAAATTTGCGACGAGCGGGTGAATTGTGTTTGTGCACGTTTCCCGAAATAATGAGAAAATGGACATTCAGAGAAGAACGGATCAGAGACGGAGCGGAGACGCTCAAGATTGAGCGAAGGATGAGCACCTTGGATACCTTTGGGCAAAATTCAAGGAAAAACATGGCGGAAGGAGTTGCATGCATGCTATACAGATGTATCGCCATGAAGAATATGAATTCAGAGTTGCAAAGGTTGCAATGGATTGTCGAAGTAATTGTCATGCTTGAGTTAGTCTCCACCTGTGTGTCTGTTGCTGTGCATGGGAATGTTTGGGTCTTAGGGCACTGACTGTGCGACTGTGCCTTTGTGTGACACATTGCAACAAGGTCTTGTTCGGCAATGACTTGTGCGACTGTGCTTTTGACAGCGTGCAGCCTTGCTTTTGACAGCGTGCAGCCTTTCTTTTGACAGCGTGCAGCCTTGCTTTTGACAGCGTGCAGCCTTGCTTTTGACAGCGTGCAGCCTTTCTTTTGACAGCGTGCAGCCTTTCTTTTGACAGCGTGCAGCCTTGCTTTTGACAGCGTGCAGCCTTTCTTTTGACAGCGTGCAGCCTTTCTTTTGACAGCGTGCAGCCTTTCTTTTGACAGCGTGCGGCTGTGCTAACGTGTTCTGTGTGCGACCCTTCGTTGCGTGCAGGCCACGTGAATCACAGCATCTTCTGGAAGAACCTCGCCCCTATCAGTGTAAGACTTCTGCTCCCTCCAATTCCGGTTTCTCCGTATTCTGATACCTCCTTCCTTCATGTGTACAATTTCACAGTTCCTACTAGATTTGTGACCAATCTTCATAAATTCTCCAGACTGATTCGTCCGCCACAGCCTGGCTAACACCAATCCGAAGACATCGCAACACCAATTTCTCCTCTCCCTTTCGTCTTGTCCTGCGTGTTTTCAGAAGACAATTTTTGGATGTCGAATCTAATCACACATCCATACCCATCCTTTATTCCCCCCCTCGCTTTGTCTTGCCCTCGCAGGAGGGAGGGGGGGCGCCACCCGAAGGCTCTCTAGTGGCAGCTGTTGACGCCCAGATTCGGTCGCTGGACGCCCTTGTCTCTAAATTCCAGCAAACCCAAGTACCAGTTCTTCCTCTCCCCTTTATCATATCCTGCGTGTTCTCACAGGAGGGAGGGGGAGCGCCACCCGAGGGTGCTTTAGCGGCAGCCATTGACGCCCAGTTTGGGTCGCTGGACGCCCTTGTCTCCAAGTTCAATGCTGCTGGTGCTGGCGTGCAGGGGTCCGGATGGGTGGTGAGTGACTGAAACGGGTGGGATGTTGATCCAGTTGAGAGTGTACTTCTTTTGACTTTACTGCCCGATTCTGGGTTGCTGTACCAATGCTGCTGGCGCTGGAGTGCGAGGTTCCGTGGTGAGTGACTGTATTGGGTGGGATTGTCTGAATGGGATTGTACTGTGTCACTGTAAGGCATGAGTTTGGGTCGCTGGACGCTTTTGCGTCCATCAATGCTGCTGGTGCTGGCGTGCAGGGGTCCGGATGGGTGGTGAGTGACTAACTGGTGGAATCGTATTGTGTTGGGAGTTCATTTTGTGTGATTGGAACGAGCACGAGTTTGGGTCATTGGACGCCCGAGTTCAGTGCTGCTGACGCTGGCAGGAGCCTGGATGGATCTATCGAAACGGTGGGTCTCCCTAGAGATAGGAAAGGGGGGGGGGCATTTCTGAAGCTTTGGAAAGAAGAAAAGCTCACACTGTCTCCTTTCCCCCTCCAGTGATTCTGCCTTTGAGAAAGGAACTCTTTTGTTTTTCTTCCTTCTCAGAACAAGTTTGCCCCCACTGTGTCATTTTGTCCACTTGTTTCCCCCAGTGGTTGGGCCTTAATGACCGGAAGAAGCTGGCGATTGTCACGACAGCCAATCAGGACGCGTGTGTGACTACAGGCCACGTGCCTCTACTGGGTGTTGACGTCTGGGAGCATGCCTACTACCTTCAGGTAAGATCCTCTTCCGCTATGTACCTATTCTTATTATTACTGCTAGTGCCACTAATGCGTCTTGCAGAAAATTTGGGTACCATAAAGAGCACTGGGACAAAGAAAATCCACAGGTGCAGGTGCTGGTTTTCATCAGCAAGAACTGCATTCCAGTACGGATGCCTAATATTGTCCCTGTCTTCCTGTTTTCTCGTCGTGTATTTGGACTTCGTGTTTTTCCAGTACAAAAATGTTCGCCCCGACTACCTGAAGAACATTTGGAAGATCATCAACTGGAAGGATGTGGCTTCTCGCTATGCAGCTGCTTATTGAAGGAAACAAGGTTCCACCCTAAATCGCCAAGTGGAAAGTTGCCTGAAAGTAGAGTGCAGATTTTGTAGCACGAGACAAACATGTCGTTTAGTGGAATAATGATGATTTGTTGATTTGTTGATTCGTCATTCATGTTCGAATACCCCGCTAGGGTAATTTGAGACAGCAGGCAATGATAATGTTGACACATTGATTGCACAATTGCGTTTGAGAAAGGCATCCTACTTGATTGTGAGTAGCTTGATTGTATTTGTTTTTGTTTTGTCGCAAGTGTATTTTGAAGCCCACTTCGCCGTAAGGCTTCTCTTTAACGAGAATTGCAGTCATGTTTACCGTTTGGCAGGGGAAGCGCTTACTGACCAGCCTGGTCAGGCGACAAGCCGCCATCGCGGCTTCGGATCACTCGCCGCTGACATGTCGGTTCGAACCGTCTCTCCTCCGCACCATTTCGCTGGAATCCACGAATTCTTCTGGTTCTTGGTTTGCGTGGTGGCAGGCAAGGCAAACTGCACATCATGTGCTAGCCTAGCACTCCCAGCTGCCCGCCCGGTCCGGAAACGCCATCGCCGAAAAGCGAACACCGAAGCCAACCAATCAAACAGCACGCCATCTGGTCTCCTGCTCGAGGTTCTTACCTCGCTCGCATCTCTCCGCGCCTTGAGGAACACGGCAGTGCTTTCGTAAACCACGCGAAAACTTATAATTTACCAGATTTGATTTCGCATATCTGCTTCCAGGGGCAAACACAGCGAATTTGTTTCCGCACCCAGCTCGAGCCTTGCATCGCAGTGAGACTCCCCTCGACGCATTTTCGTCCCCCGCCCCCCAAACCCAAGCCAACCCAAACCCTACTGCCAACGGTTCAAACCCACGAGCCACGACGAGCACCTTGCAAACAGAGCTCCGCTCCGCATGGGCATGTCCCTGATGTGTAAATATTTTGTTCGTACCCCGCCCAAACGTTCTATAGTGCAATGGAGCCGCTTCAGTACGTGAAAAAAACACACTCCACCGCATTACATATGCTCATTGTCGAGTCCGTCGTGCTGGTTTGAATTCCACAACTGCATCGCTCTTGCTTATTCCCCCTCTTCTCCCATCCCTTTGTGCCCCTTTCCCGCAGCCCCCCTTGTCTGCCTCCCCAACCCTTCCTCCTTTCCCGCCATTGACGAACCTCCTCCGCATTTATCTAACAAGGGAAGGCGCTGTTGTGCGCCAGCCTTTTTCTCGACTTCCTATGACAAGACATTCCGTTCCTCAGAAAACTTCCAAACACATTTATCTAGACTAGTACGCCCTCCAGTGCTCTCCAATCTCTTCGTTACACGTCGTACCCTAGTTCCTGCCTCCTCTGTCCAAGTAGATACTAGTCGCCATGTCTGAGCGGAGCAATTACTCCTACAACGGGCCGCGCCCCAACCCGTTATACGGCGGCCCGAAGGCCTCTAAAGCCACCAGCTCTAGCAGCCAGAACCCCTCGTGGGTGCGTCGCGAGCCGTCCGCGTCGCACGCCTATAGCGACTCAAACTGCTCCCCCGGCTCCTCGCCCGCACGCAGCAACCGCAGCGGCGGAGGCCCGTACTACGCGCCGCAGTATGAAAACCCCGGGTATACCGTCGAGACTCCAGGACACTATAACGGGTTCGGAACGGGCCCCGGTTCTGTCGGCGGAAGCTCCATCCCCGCGGCGTCGCCCTACCGCCCGACCGCGTCCTATTTCGTGCAGACGCCCGCGCATTCCGACCGCGCGGGGCTTTTCAGCTCGCCCGGGTCGTCCGCGCCGTCGTCGCCGCGCTTCGGCGACGAAGACGCGCGGAGCATGCGATCCGGACGAGGGGGCGCGTCCGTTGCGATCAACGGTGGCGACGGCGACGACGACTACGACGATTTTTACCCGGATCACCTGCGCGACGCGGACCGGCGACGCAAGTGGTGGATCGCATTCTGGGCGTATACGTCGTTGATCGTCGGACTGCTGCTGGTCGCAGGCGCGATCGTGTGCTGGATCATCTTCCAACCGACGGAACCAACGTACACTTTCGACGTACGTTGAACTTTACTTGTTTGGTTTCAGTCCCGATAGTTCATGAGCTGCTGCTTCAGTGTCCCATTCATAAGAGCTCACATCCTCTTACGCTTCGCGCCAATTCCCGCTCAATATCATCGCGGCCGTGCTCAAGGCCTGGTGCGCGCGCCTCACTCTCGTTCCCCAAATCGCGTTGTAATGTTATCCAGTTTCTCATGCTTTATTTTGTTGGTGATATTTCCTTGTGTACAGTACGTGGCGGTGAACCAGTTTACTGTATACCAGGACATGCTTGACGGTAACGGAATGGCGACGGACCATCTGTACGCCAACATGACGTTCATCTTCTCTATACGCAACCCCAACACGCGGTTTAACACGTGGTTCGACGGCGGCGATCTCTCCATCAGCTATCACAACATGGCGAATATCATGAAGACAACGGTAAGGGCCAACGGTCACTCACTCGCTCACCACAACATGGCAAATACCATGAAGCTAACGTGGGAGCCATCAATCCCTTTCAAACACGAGTCCACTCATTCTTTCTCTCATTCACCCTCGTTTTCTCACTCTCAACTCACTACACACACGTCTGGTCACTAACCCTGTCACTCAGTGACCTTCACACTCACTTCCACACACACTCCCACTGACTCATGCGACCAGATCACATCCCGAATTCACTCTCCCACCTAGCCGACTCCCACCTTGCCGACTTTCACGCCTCGTTACTTCTCCCCAACCTCCACACCCACCTATCCACCATCGTTGTCCTTTCCCTCGCCCATTCCTCTCCTCTTTCCCTCCCCCAAAAACTCACCGCTTCCCTCCCCCCCCTCTTCCTTCTAATCATTTCCCTCCCCCTCGTTCCCTTATCTCAGCTGCCGACCTTCCAGCAGGAGCAACTCGAGTGGTCCAGCTTCAACCGCTCGCTCTCAACCATGGCGTTTCCCTTTATTTACCTTTCTCCCTCTCCCCTCCATTCCCTCTCTCTTTTGTCCCCCTTCCCACTCTTCCCCTCCCTCCCTCCCCCGCCCCACCACCAGCTGCCGACCTTCCAGCAGGAGCAACTCGAGTGGTCCAGCTTCAACCGCTCGCTCTCAACCATGGCGTTTCCGCTGTACGCAGGGGGGACGTTCATGCGCGCGGACATGGCGGAGCAGTTCGTTCCGCTGAAGCTGAACGCGACGCTCAACAGCCACGTGGACGTGGCGTGGAAGATCATCCAGCCGAAATACTCGCAGCTGCTGGAGTGCGTGGTGAACATTAACCCCGCATCTCTACAGTACATTAACGACACGTGCACGCTTACAATGCTTAGCAAAAAGGTCTAGGGGAAATGCGAGTGGAGGAGGTAAGGGTTTGGAGTGGTAATTGAAAGGAGCTCTGCCAGAGAGGTTAATGTGAATGATGCTGAAGAGCGGGGGTGACAGCGGCAATGCTAGATACCCAGGGAGGCCCCAGGGAGTTCTGAGTAGGTAGAAGGTTTCTAAGTGTCTGGTTCTCTGAGTCTCTGACAGGGCTGGTTGTTTTTCAGTGGTTTGTCCAGGTGACCAGGTTTAGGGTTGAAATAACCGGGTCATAGGGTTTGATGATTACTGTTTTTAGCAGGAGTTTCCGATCCCTAAAATTCAGGGTCTGCTAAGCTAGTAACTTCAGTGTAGAGGTTCAGAGTTGGTTATGGCTGCATGCCTTATGCCTACCTGAAATCAAAACAACTGCTTGTTCTTACGATATTAAGGCTTATCAATGTAGAGTACAATATTGTCAAATGTTGTAGCCTGTAGTGAGGTTTGTCTTAGGGGGTACACAATTTAGGGTTTGTCATATGTACCCCAACCAACATCAATGGACACATCATTCCTCATTTTGACATGGTATCAGCTAAGTTAGGATCCTGTGGGATCCCGTTCCTCCGTTCTCTGTTCGTACCTCCCGAGCCTGATCCTACCTCTCGTTCGTACCAGTTCCGTTGTTACCGTGCCTAGCGCCCTTTCCCCCGTCGCTTAGCGCCCTTTCTCCCCGTCGCCTAGCGCCCCCCCCCCCCCGTCGCGTCGCGCCCTTTCCCCCCCCCCGTCACGCCCTTTCCCCCCGTCGCGTCGCGCCCGTTCCCCCCGTCGCGTCGTGCCCGCCTGTTCCCCCCCCGTCCCGTCGCCCTGTCCCGTCGCGTCGCCCTACCCCGTCCCGTCGCCCTGTCCCGTCCCGTCGCCCAGTCCCGTCGCGTCGCCCTACCCCGTCGCGTCGCCCTGCCCCGTCCCGTCGCCCTGCCCCGTCGCGTCGCCCTGTCCCGTCGCGTCGCCCTGCCCCGTCGCGTCGCTCCCGCCCTTTCCCCCGTCGCGTCGCCCTGCCCTACGCCCTGGCCCGTCGCCCTGCCCTAAGCCCTGGCCCGTCGCCCTACCCTAGGCCCTGGCCCGTCGCCCTCCCTAAGTCCTGGCCCGTCGCCCTACCCTAGGCCCTGGCCCGTCGCCCTACCCTAGGCCCTGGCCCGTCGCCCTACCCTAGGCCCTGGCCCGTCGCCCTCCCTACGCCCTGGCCCGTCGCCCTACCCTAGGCTCTGGCCCGTTGCCCTCCCTAAGCCCTGGCCCGTCGCCCTACCCTAGGCCCTGGCCCGTTGCCCTACCCTACGTCCTGGCCCGTCGCTCTAGCCCGCTCTTCCGCTGCGACTGAGTCCTCTTCCCCCCCGGTTGTTACTCGCCTGTTCGTTCGCTTTAGTCCTCACTATGGCGACTCCGCGAGTTCTTCGTTTCGACGCTGACGGTAGACCCCTTGACTTTTCCGTCTGGCTTCTTCGCGCTCGCCGTCTGTTAGAGAGTCAGGTCCAGGGGGGCGAGACCCTCTGGTCACACGCTACTGGTGACCTCCCTGAGCCCCCCGAGCCTACAGCTTTAGGCCCTGCTCCTGACGACGCTGCTACGGCTCGCTTTGCCCGTCAGCGCGCTGACCGGACGGCTTGGACGTCGCGTGACGCTGCGGCCTGCATCGCACTCAGCAGCCTCCTCCCTGAGTCCGAGGAGGTCCACTTTACTCAGGTTCGCACCGCTGCTGCATACCTCACTGCGATTAAGGCCCGCTACTCTACTCCCGCTACTGTCTCTCTTGGCCGTCTTTTCCTCCCGTTCCTGTTTCCTGATCTTGCCTCGTTTGAGCGCTCTGCTGACTTGATCGCTCACCTCCGCTCGCTCGACGCTAGTTACCGCGCTGCTTGCACTGAGGCACAGCTTACACTGCTTCCTCCCCCCATGGCGATCACTGTCTATTTCATCGCCACTAGCCTCCCTGACCGCCTTGCCTCCGTTCGTGACGCGCTTCTGCTGAAGCACCCTAGTGAGCTGACTATCGAGGTCCTTGAGTCTGCACTCAAGGACGTCGAGAGCAACCTTCGTTCGGTAGCTGCCGCCTCTGGTACTGTGTCCCCCCCACTCTTCCACGGGTGCACAGTCCCGCAGTTACCCACCTTCACTGCCTCTCTTGCCACTGCCGCTACTGACGCGACTGCGGCTGCTGTTACGACTGCGTCGCGGTCCCGCGGCAGGGGGGGCAAGAAAGGTGGTTCTAGTGGAGGTGGAGGCGGAGGTAGCGGAGGTAGTGGGGGTGCTGTTGCGACTGGGGGTGGTGGGAGTGCAGCGTCTGGAGAGACCCCTCGTGCAGCGGCTGGTGACTCCACTGCACCTGCTGGTGGCGGCGACCCCCGAGCTCGTCAGTCGCCTCCTGTACTGCCGGCCCCGCTAGGTGGAGCAGCGGCGTGGTACCAGGCTCAGCGTCAGCAGCACCTTCAGCAGCAGCAGCAGCCCCTTTCCTCCCAGCAGCCTCAGCAGCAGCAGCGTCAGCAGCTGGCTCCGGGGTCGGGGCTGCGTCAGCCCCAGCGCGGTGCGGCTTACCCTCCCTGCCCCTACCAGGTTCAGACAGGTCCTCGTCGGGGCCACCCTTGTGGCCGCTTTCACCCCCCTGATCAGTGCTTTGCTCAGCTCACTGACACGGTCCGGTTGACCTACGGGGTTGGCGGTCCTGCTCCTGACTGGCTTCCTCTGGTTCAGCGCTACGGCTCCGCTCTGTGGGGCATGTCTGCTGAGCAGTTAGTTGATCTGATTAGTGCTCCTCATGCTATGTATGCTGTTGTTGACTCTAGTGTTTCTGACTCTGTTTACTCTGGTGTTGTTAGCTTAGGTGCTAGTCTTGCTCAGTTGCCTGTTGCTAGTGTAGGTACTTGTGTAGACTCTAGACCAGCGACTACCTCAGGGGACGCTTTGCTGTCGTTCACACTGGACTCTGGAGCCTCCCACTGCTTCTTTCGGGACAGCACGACACTTACACCACTTCCTGCGCCTGTTTCTGTAGCGTTGGCTGATCCCACTACGGGACCAGTCACTGCCCGTCACACTACCACTTTACCGTGTCCTGCTGCTCCCTCCGGGTCTCTCACTGGGTTTCACGTCCCCTCGTTCTCCCGGAACTTGGTGGGCGTGCGACCCCTCGTGAGTCAGCACGTGGGTGTGTGGTTTGAGCCTTCTGGAGAGACTGCGGTGTGTGTTGACGGAGACTCTTACCAACCTCTTGCTACCTTTACTGCTGAGCCGGGCTCGGGTCTCTACACTCTTCACACTGGCCCGCGTGCGCCGCAGCGGCAGCCGCAGCAGCAGCAGCAGCCGCAGCCGCAGCAGCAGCAGCAGCAGCACCAGCGGCCGCACCAGCAGCCCCCCCTACTGCCACTGCCCCCGGTTCCCCCCCCCCGTTCGGGTCCCCGTGTCTCACCAGGTTGCTTCGTCCCCCCAGGTGTCTGTGTCGTGTCAGGTTCCTACGTCTGTTCCAGTCGCTGCGTCGTGCTCCTGCCGGTCGCTTGCCCACCCCACCGTTCTGTGGCACCACCGGATGGGGCACCCGTCCCTTCCTCGTCTGCGCGCTATGTCTAGTCAGCGTCTTGTCCTAGGCCTCCCACGTGTCTTGCCGTCGCTGCCGCCTTCGCTTGCGCCGCCGTGTCGTCCCTGCGTCGAGGGTAGGCTGCGCGCCACCCCTCACTCCTCCTCCCTTCGTCCGGCCACCGAGCCTTTTGAGACGCTTCACTTGGACGTCTGGGGCCCCGCCCCTCGTCTAGGCCCTGAGCGTGAGCGTTACTTTCTGGTGGTCGTTGACGACTTCTCCCGCTACACCACAGTGTTCCCACTGGCGAAGAAGTCTGAGGTGACTTCTACGCTGATCAGGTGGTTGCTCACCACCGAGGACACTCGTGGTCGTCGTGTCAGCTGTCTCCACTCCGACCGTGGGGGTGAGTTTCGCTCCGGCATTCTCGCTGGATTCTGTCGCGAGCAGGGCATTCGTCAGTCCTGGACGCTTCCAGAGTCCCCACAGCAGAATGGGGTTGCTGAGCGCCGCATAGGCCTGGTCATGGAGATCGCCCGCACCTCCCTGACTCACGCCTGTGCCCCCCATTTTCTGTGGCCCTACGCGGTCAGGTACGCCGCGCACCAGCTGAACCTCTGGCCACGTGTCTCTCGACCAGAGGTTTCACCGACCAGTCTTTGGACAGGGTCCCCTGGTGTTGCGTCGCGGTTTCGTGTCTGGGGGTGCTTGGCTCTTGTCCGCGACACCTCCGCGGACAAGCTCTCGCCTCGTGCCGTCCCCTGTGTCTTCCTTGGTTTCCCTGAGGACTCCTCTGACTTCACCTTTTACCACCCTCCCTCTCACCGGTTCTTTGACTCCCGTGACGTCCGTTTCGAGGAGTCCACTCCGTACTACGTCAGGTACCCCAGTCGAGGTCTCCCGGTTCCTCCTCCCCCCCTCTTCCTGACTGCCGCTCCCCCTCCTGCTCCCCCGGTACAGCCTCCCCCCCCTGGCCCAGCCCTGTCAGGTGTGTCCCAGGCTACCCCTCCTCCTTCGGTAGCCCCTCCGGTACAGCCTCCCTCCCCACAGTCCTCCTCGCAGCGTGCCGCTGGTGCTAGCTCTCGAGAGGTTGGTGCTGCGCTTGTTCCTGTACCGGTTTCTGGTTCTGGGGGTGCTGGAGTTGGAGCTGGTGTTGGAGCTGGAGGTGGAGCTGGAGTAGGCACTGGAGTTTCTGGTTCTGGGGGTGCTGGAGTTGGAGCTGGAGTTTCTGGTTCTGGAGTTGGAGCTGACCCGGTGGGTGCAGAGGACTCTTGTCGTCCGGGAGCCGGTGCTGGCCGCGCGGACTCTGGGGGTGCTCCCTGTGGGGGTGAGGGTGCGCCTGCTTCGGGTTCTGGTGCGCCTGGGTCTGGAGCTGGTGTTAGTGCTGCCTCTGGGGGTGGTGCGCCTGGTTCTTCGGGGGTTGACTCTGGAGCTGCCGCTGCTTCGGACACTACTCCGCCCCCCCACCCCTACCCGACTA